CAGGGGCTGCAGCCTACACCATTGCCGGCGACTCACGGCAGCCCAGTTCCAGGACGAGCTGTTGTTCACCATCTTAGCTATAGAGGGCAGTGTCACTGGCCCTCATGTGGGATCTGAACCGGGGCCCTGCTGCTCAGAGCTGGCATCCCAAGCCAGCTCTTAACCAACGTGCCACTCGGCCGGCCCAGTACTAAGTATTTCAGAATGAATGACAGAAAATAAAAAAGTGGGAGGAGGAGGATGGGGGATGGGAGTTGAGAGGAAATAGCTTACAAAGATAAAAAACTAAATCTTAAAGAACAAGGAGAAAAGGTCTACACAAAGATTACACTATAAGAAAATCAGTAAGACATTAGTAAAACAGCACTCCACAGTCAAGAAGCTCATAGACTAATAAACCAAAAAAGAAAAAGACACTGCTGTAGTGTCATGAATATTAACAAAGACATGTCATTAAAACATAGGTAAGACATACCCAGCTGTGTAAGGGCATTTACCATACTGTACTAAAAACGATTTTATTAAAATAAGTGTATTTCATTATAATCAAGCATTCCTCATCCACAAGCAGAATGAAATCAGTGAGATCAAACCAAACTTTATATTATCTCTTTGTCTTCAAATCACAGTCAAAATTGGTACTCAATCTAAATTTGTTATACTGTTCTAATGAGTTATTAATGACTTTCACATTTACAATAAGGTAACAATGATTGGAAGGTCATTCCATTCTACTGATATGAATAAATTACAAGTTAAAAGAGATACATGTGCTGAGAAATCAACAGTAAATTGAGTTTCTCATGCCATTTCAGCCATTAAAAATCCATTCTAGGGCCGGCTGAGTGGCACGATGGTTAGGAACTGGCTTGGGACACCAGAGGGCCCCAGTTCGGATCCCACATATAAGGGCCAGTGACACTGCCCTCTACAGCTAGGATGCTGAACAACAGCTCAACCTGGAGCTGGGCTGCTGGGAGTCGCCGGCGATGGCGTAGGCTGCAGCCCCTGTAGCAGTGGGTTGCCATGGGCTACCATACGTAGCCAGCAGCCAGCGTGAGCGGCCAGCAGCCGCAGTGAGCGGCCATCCAAAGGCTGGCGACTGATCTGCCTCGCCCAGGAGGAGCGCAATGATGGTTCCAACTTGGGCCAGTGAAGCAACATCCTCCACAACTAGACTGAAGAACAAAAAATGACAGCAACTTGTCTGTTCCCCTTCTCCCAATTCCCCAGCACTGTTCCCATCACCCCAATTCCCCAATAAAAATCTTAAAAAAAATTTCATTCTAAAGCAAAGATGACCTACATTCTACGAATCATGTTAAATTTTTTAAAATTTTGATTATATGTGGTTTTATTTTCTGAAATGTTATCTTTTGTCTAACAATCATTCTCATTCCAGGATCTAATCAAAACACACTTAAAACAAAGTAACCTACTTCTGAAACTCAGTAATCTCTACAACTTTCTAAAATACTAAGCTAGCAAAAACATATGCTAAAAATGAAAATTATATTTTATAGTAAAATATCATCAATACTCCATAATCTTTGAATCTTTCAAAAGAGAAAATAATTTACACCAACCACATATTTTCATGCAATCCTATAACATTAATCTGAGATCACTTAGGCTGAGACTAAGAAAAAGCCTTTATATCACAATGTTCCTCCTTGGCCATAAACTCAATTGTAAGCATTCACTTCAACAAGATGGCGTACTGAAAACTTATAGGAGGCATGGTAGGCAGCTTCTGAAATGGCCCCTAATGATCTTATCTCCTAGTATTCGTATTCTTGTGCAATATCCTCCTGTTAAATGTAACTGGGACTAGTGACTCACTTCTTAAAAAAAAAAAAAAAGAACACAAAAGGGGACCAGCCGAGTGGCTCAGTTGGTTAAGAGCACAAGCTCTGAGCAACAGGGTCGCTAGTTCGATTACCACATGGGCCAGTGAGCTGAGCTGCCACTGAGCTGCCAATAGATGGCAGAATGGCTCAGCTGGTGAGAGCACATGCTCCTAACAATAAGGTTGCGGGTTCGACTCCCACAACTAAGATTGACCACATCACCTTGAGTTGAGCAGCTGCAAGCTGCCGATGGCAACTGGACTTGGAGCTGAGCTAGCTGCGCCCTCCACAACTAAGATTGAAGGACAACAACTTGACTGTTCCCCTTCCCCAATAAAACCTTAAAAAAAATAAAGAAATAACACAAAAGGGACCAAATATATCATTATGGAAGAACCGACTCTGGGTGGTGAACACACACAATGTGATAAATAGATGATGTATTACAGAATTGTACACCTGAAACCTATGTAACTTTTACTAACCCTTGTCATCCCATTAAACTTTAATTAAAAAAGAAAAAACAACAACAAAAAAAATGATGAGATTTCATCTCTGAGATTAGGCTACAAAAAAACCTGACTTCCACCTTGCTCTCTCTCTCTTATTGGCACACTCTGAAGAAAGTCATACAGTGCTGTAAGCTGTCCAATAGAAAGGGTCACATGGCAAAAAATTGTATCTCAGCCAATGTCTAACTGGGACTTAAGACTGTCAACAGCCAAACAAATGAGCTAGGAAGCATATCAACCCCCAATTAAGCCTTAAAATGACTGCAGCCAGACTGACAACTTCATTGCAGCCTTATGAGAAATCCTGAGTCAAAGGCACCCAGATAAGCTATGCCCCAATTCCTACTCCACATAAACTATGAGATAATAAATGCTTGCTGCTTTAAACCCCTGCATTTTGGGGAAACTTGTTATACTGTAATAGGTAATTAATGCACAAAGCAACAAATTACCTTTTTATACATCTATAAATGTTGATTGGTATCTTCAGAGAAAATTAAAGTACTAACTAAACAGGGATACATGTGCTACAAAGCAATGCAATTCTAACAATAACATAATGCCATTCTGTCAATGTATTACTAAATATATGTAAATATATTTATATATTTAAATTTTATTTTAAAATACATATTTATATTTAATAGATTATTGTTTAAGCTTTATAAAATGGAGAAAGCATTTTTGATGAATAGGGTATTTTTCCCTCAAAACTGAATGGAATCATTGCATCACTATTTATAAGAGCCAAAAAGTGAAACCCAAATATCCATCAACTGAGGAAATGATAAGCAAAATGTGGTATATCTATACAGACTATAATGCAGCAATATAAAGAAACGAGATACTCAGACATAACATCAGCAACACGAAGCTCCGAGTCCTCAGTCCCCCACAGAAACATTTAAAAACAACTGGAAGCTGGGCCGGCCGAGTGGTGCGTTGATTAAGAGCTGGCTTGGGATGCCAGAGGGCCCTGGTTCAGATCCCACATATGAGGGCCAGTGATACTGCCCTCCACGGCTAAAATGCTGAACAACAGCTCGACCTGGAGCTGGGCTGCCATGAGTTGCCAGCGACAGCGTAGGCTGCAGCCCCTGTGGCAGTGGGTTGCCATGGGCTACCGTGTGTAGCCAGCAGC